CCCATCTATTCTATGTACCCTGAACCAATATTATACCCTTACTAATCATTATTGTCATTCTAGTATTATTCCGGCACTTGGTACATAATGTCAGTCACATAGTAAGAACTTAATAAGTGATTATTGACTTGACTTGTTGACTTATTGTTCTTAAGAAGACTTATCAGAGGGGTTACTATCTAGCACTATGTGTTAAAGGCTCCAGGCACAACAGAAACCAAAATATTGCTTATAGATTAAACAGTTCTCTACACTAAAACATGAATCATGTTCATAATAATAGCTGATATTTATTTATTTATAGCTGTAGACTTTGCAAAGTGCTTCACGTATGTAGCACTCTGTCTGGGCTCACTCTCCTAACTCCTACTGGCATTCTGATTCTCCAGAGGGCAGTTGAATAGTATTCTAGGGGTAATCTTAGGGTCTGGGTTTTCTAGTACTGTCATCTGTGAGCCCCCATCTGGTGTGCTCCCTCAATATCAATCAACCTGTTGATGTCAATTAGCTTTTATAAAAGAGTATTTATTAAAAAATATAGAAAAGATAGAAGTTAAAAAAATATTTCCTCAAACCAGGGACACACTCTTCCCTTTGCATACACTCTGTCCCTGGGGAAAGTAGACACAAATTTAAGGTGCAAAGGTGAGGAAGCCCACAAGGGGGAACATGTGGGACTGAGAGCTTGACCTAAAGATTCTTGACCCCAGAAATTCTTTTGTCCCTTTACAGAATCCCCACCAACTTCATTTTTGGATGCAGCATCAGCAATCAATAAATCACTCTTATGCTCAACTGGTCTGGCTCCTCTAGGAATTAGCTTTCAATTTTTTAAGGGGACGTCTTATGGCTCTTCTGACTTATCAGAGTTTACAAGGTCAGAACCTGGGCAATTCTTTCTCCAGATACTCTTTCACCTAAGATCAGCTGCCATGTGTTTACAGGTACATGGTGGCTTGGTGGTGAGATAAGTCAGACACTAATTCTTCCCTTACCTAGAAGCTCATAGCAATATTTTGCATTTGAAAGCCTCTTGGGAAGAGAAAACAAAAGGACCAAGGGAAAGGTATATAGATCCTTTGGTATGCAAACTGAGTCCCAGGGCTTCTCAGCCAATCAGAAAACTCCTCATCAAACAACAGCAGTTCCCTAGACACTTATGGCTAGAAGTATGTTCACTAAACTTTCATATCTTGGGTTGGAACTGGGCAGGGATACTGTGTATGCTATATATAACCCACAGGAAAGGTAATTCCAAGCATGTTCTAGGCCAGGAGTGGGGAACCTGTGGCCTTGAGACCACATATGGCCTTCTAGGTCCTTGGGTGCAGCCTTTTGACTGAGTCCAAGTTTTACAGAACAAATCATTTTATCAAAGGGATTTGTTCTGTGAAGTTTGGATTCAGTCAGAGGGCCACACTTGAAGACCTAGAGGGCCATGTGTGGTCTCAAGGCCCCACCCCTGTTTAAGCATTGGGTCCTCTTTAGCCAGTTCTCCCATTATGCATACATTTTCTCTTTTGATCTTCACAACCTCCCTCTAAGATAGGCACTACTAATTCCAATTTAATTGATGATTAAAACAATAGTATTCCATCACAACCACATGCCACAACTTGCTCAGCCATTTACCAATTAATGGGCATCCCTTCAATTTCCAATTCTCTGCCACCACAAAAAGAGCCACTATAATTATTTTTGTACATATAGGTCCTTTCTCTTTTTCTTTGATCTATTCAGGATATAGACCTAGTGATGGTATTGCTAAGTGAAAGGGTATGCAAAGTTTTATTGCTTTTTGGTCATAGCTCCAAATTGTTGTCCAAAATGGTTGGTCAATCCACTAATTTGAAGGCAAACCGTGAAGAAAAAATTCATGCACTTCTTTCTTTCTTTTTTTTTTTTTCACTTCTTTCTCCAAAATGAGAAGAGTGGGCTGGGAAGAAATGGCTTTAGAAAGAGTAATTGTCAATCACTAATAAAACCAGAGATGAAATGGATTAAGTATAGCTCTGGCTAAGGAGAGGGGGATGAATTGGGATGATATGAGTATAGTCAGAACATTTGCTTAGATTCCATTCAGATCCTGAGACAACTTTCCTTCCCCTTTAACAAACTGTGGAAGCAATAGGGAGATAAGGAAGTCTTATCAGTACAGAATATGGAAGACTGACTAAGTTGGACTTGATGGGGACTGAGTCAATGTCTGATCTGACTACTCCTCTCTTTATCTTTCCCTTTCTCTCATTATATCCTTCTCCTCAACAAGGTTCTCCCCCATGATCCTCCAGGAGATTTGGGGTTGATGGAATGATCATAATAATTCTTAAAAGCCTCTATCAAGTTGTTATCTGAACATGACCTTATGCTGGTGCTAAACCTGTAGAACTAGTGATACACAGTTCTGTTCCTCCAAAGTAACCTGATCTAAATTAAACATGGACAATGCCCTACACTTTGTAGTGGAAAGAATCTTTAATTTATAGCCAATAGATCCGAATTCAAATCCAGGCTCTACCACCTACTATGTGACTTTGGAAAAGTCACTTAACATCTCTGCTCCTCAGTTTCCTCATCTATAAAATGGCGTATTACTACCCATACTATCTAATTCACAGGGGTGTTGTGAGAAAAACTTATAAGCCTTCAAGTGCTCGATAAAAATTAAGTCATATCCTTTTGGACACCTTAGCTTCCTAGTTTATCAGCCTCTTACATGAATTGAGCAATATCCTTGAGCAATATCGTAAGGGTGGACATACCTCAGATATTATTGCCACCTCTATATTTTTGAATTCAGGAATTCCTCCCTCTCACCACAGTCTCAAGACCATCTTTTTTGTTGTTTCATTTCCCTTAAAGGAAAAATAGTATGGTTTGATTTGCATTCAGACCCAATTAGTTCTTTCTCTGGAGGTGGATAGCATTTTTCATCATGAGTCCTTTGGAATTGTCTTGAATCTTTGTATTGATTAGAGTAGCGAAGTCATTCACAACTTATCATCATACAGTATTGTTACTCTGTACAATTTTCTCCTGGTTCTGATCACTTCACTTTGCATCAGTTCATATGTCTTTCCAGGTTTTTCTGAAATCACCCTGCTCATCATTTCTTATAGCATAGTAATATTCAATTTCAATCATATACCACAACTTGTTCAGCTATTTCCCAATTGATGGGCATCCCCTCAATTTCTAATTCTTCACCACTACAAAAAAAAAAGCTGCTAAAAATAACTTTGTACACATGGGTCCTTTCTTTTTTTTTTTCCTTAAATCTCTTTCGGATATAGACCTAATAGTGGTATTGCTGAATCAAAGAGTATGCAAAGCCAAATGTACCTTTCAAATATAATTGCTCTCTCAAAGGTAACCTAAAGGTCAAGTCATTTAATCTAGATAATTTCAGTATCTCCATCAATTCCAATTTAATTGATGATTAAAAGAAATGATTAGTAGACGGATTTCAGAAAAACCTAGGAAGACATATGAACTGACACAAAGTGAAGTGAGCAAAACCAGGACATTATACATAGTAACAACAATATTGTCTCGATCAACTGTGAAAGACTTAGCTACTCTAATCAATACAGTGATGCAAGACAATTCCAAAGGATTCATGATGAAAAATGCTATCCATTTCCAGAGAGAGAACTGGTGAACTCAGAATGCAGATCGAACCATACTTTTTCACTTACTCTCTTTTTTTTTCCTTTTTCCTATGTGTACAACATGGCCAATGTGCACGACTTCACATGCATAATTGTTATCATATTGCCTGCCTTCTCAGTGGGTGGAGGAGTGGCTTGAGGGAGGGAGAAAATTTGGAACTAAAAATTTTGAAAGATGAATGCTAAAATAAAGTACCATTATAAAAAAAAGGAGTAGAGATAAATGATTTTTGGGTTCCCTTGAGGCTCTAAAATTTGATGACCATCATACCCTTGATGAGTGTTTAAATAGGTGGGAGGAATGGTTAGTTGCACTGAACAAGCCTTCAGAATCATCTCCAGGCTAAAATTATACACCTGCCTGAAGTTTCTTCAGTCTCTCAGAGCAGCTGGGGAAAATACACCTGTATAAAAATTCATTAAAAAGAGGGGATGAGGATTATGTGACTAGACATTTGACAGCTCTAACTTGTGGAATAAAATATCAAATTCTTCTTGCTCCCAAGACTTGTTTCCTTAAAATCTAACCCCATTCCAGTTCACTGTCTATTCTCTCTAGTTCTTTCCAAAATAGAGAGATCCAACAACTGGTTCTGCTCTCCTTGACAATGATCATTTAGAGACCTGGGCCCAGTCATCATTCAAGACATTTTTTTTTGTTTTTTTTCCCCACTAGATCTCGCTCTTTAAAAAATTGATATATATTTTAATATCATCTTCATTTATTAATATATTCTGCCTTTGTGGCCTTTCCTAGAGCCATTTCTTATAGCAAAGAATAAAAAAAGAGGAAAAAATGAGTTTAACAAAACTAATAAACCCACCAGACAAGTCTGATACTTGCTACAGTGTTTCACATCTATGGTTCCCTTCCTCTTCAAAGAAGGGAGAGAGGCATGTTCTCATGTCTCATCTTTGGGACCAAATTTGGTCATCATAATTTCATATAATTTCCATTTTTTTGTTGTGGTTCTTTCAGTTTACATTGGGGTTCTGCTAACTCACTTTGCTTCACTACATTTAAGTCTCCCCATGCCTTTAAAATTTTTTTTTGTATTTTTCACACACTAGATCTTTTCCTTCAATTCCTTTAACAATGTGTGTGTGTTTGTGTTTGTGGGTGTGGAAGATTTGAGTTTCACATCAGTAAGAACAGGAAGGAACTGTTGGCCTAGCCCAAGAGAGCGTGGAATTTATCACACACCCATCTAATTGACCTTGGTTGCTACCTGTTTTAGCTTTTCACAGTACCTAAACCTCACTCTGTGTCTCTGACTCTTATTACACCAAAGCTCTTATGGGTTCAAGAAAAAAGGGGTGATGAACAAGTAAAGGACACATTTCCTGATATGATTTATTTTCAGCAGAACAAGTCCAAGAGTGAGGATGGATCAGGCCTATCTTTGTAGGTGGCTGACTAGAAGTCCATCTTTGTGTCTAATTTCCCTCTCCCAGTTCCAGGTCTCTGATAGACAAGGTGGTAGTTGTAAAGTCTTTCAGTCATGTCCCTTTTTTTGGGACCCCATGTGGGGTTTTTCTTGGCAAAGATACTGGAGTGGTTTGCCATTTCCTTCTCCAATGCATGAAGAGGTTAAGTGACTTGCCCACGTCTTTGGGACCAAATTTGGTCATCATAATTTCATATAATTTCCATTTTTTTGTTGTGGCTCTTTCAGTTTACATTGGGGTTCTGCTAACTCACTTTGCTTCACTACATTTAAGTCTCCCCATGCCTTTAAAATTTTTTTTTTGTATTTTTCACACACTAGATCTTTTCCTTCAGTTCCTTTAACAATGTGTATATATCTGAGGCTGGATTTAAATTCAGTTCTTTCTGACTCCAGGCCAAGTGCTCTATCCACTGAGCCATCTAGCTTCCCCTGATGACAGACAAAGAGATTACATGCAAACAGACCTATTTATGAAATCTGACAACTCCCACCTCTCATTTCCCCTTCTCTGCTGTAGAATCCCCTCATAGTTACCCTAAGTAGGATCTAGGTTTTAAAAAAGTCTTAGGAAATCATGTGTGGGCTGAGGGGATTGAATAATAGCATCTGTTCTGTTGCTGTGGCAACTGTAACCCATGAGTTCAAGGTAATTGTAGTGGTAGATGGAATTCCTGTATTATGCGGTTGAGATGGTGTCCCTTAATAGGATTCTCACTTTCCTCCCATACCACATGGTGGAGGGCATCCATGAAAAAGGAGAAGCTAACTCATCCAAGAGTGAAATTTTGGAGACAGTTGGGAGAAAGGCAAAGAAGGACAGGGAGAGAGCCAGAAGTGCTGGACCAGAGGGATCTTCAAAGAGTGGTAGAGGTATTTCCAGAAGAGGAACCATGGACTGAGGGCTTGCTGTGCTGGGCTAAGAACTCTTTGCTGACCATACCATGGGCAGCCAGGATTTTGAGGAAGCTGTACCGAAACTTATGTCCAATGAAGGCATAGATAATGGGGTTGAGGCAGCTATGGAGGAAGCCCAGTACCTCAGTGGTATTAAAAGCGCTTTCAATCACATTCCTTCGTGCACAAGTGTCCTGAATTATCTTGGTCCTCATGAGGGTGTCAGTGATCAGCACCAGATTGTAAGGCAGCCAGCAAACTAAGAAGACAAGGACTACAGCAAAGATGACCCGCATGGCCCGATGCTTCTGCCCCATGTGCGCCACAGAGAGGGTGCGCAGGGTGAAGCTGTAGCAGAAGAGCATGACGAATAGTGGCAGGACAAAGCCAAAGAACTGGGGAAGGATCCTCAGTACCAGCCGCCATTTTTCAGTATTGTTACCAAAGTTCTCATAGCAGACAAAGCCATAATAGTGTACTTTGACTGCTTCACGGAAGAAAAGAATGGGCATAGACAGGAGCAAGGACAGGACCCAGATGCCCATGCAGATGAACTTTACCCAGTGGCGCTTTTGGGTCAAGGCCCTAGTGGCATGGACAATGGCTAGGTAGCGGTCTATACTGATGCAGGCCAGCAGCAGAATGCCGCTGTAGAAGTTGATCTCCTTCAGAAGGGAGACAAACTTGCAAAGAGACGTCCCATAGATCCAGCCTTTCACCTTGGAGGCAGCCCAAAGGGGCAGTGACAGGGCAAAGAGCAGGTCGGCTATGGCCAGGTTGAGCAGATAGATGTCTGTGACTGAGCGGCTGAGCCGGTTGTAGAGGATGACCAGCATCACCAGTGAATTTCCCAGCAAACTCAGCAAGAACACGAGGATGTATATTATGATGACAAAGTACTTGTTGAGTCCTGAGACCTTTAGGTGGCAGGGGGCTGCATCCTCATATGAAGGTGGCATGTCTGTACTGTATCCAGAAAAATTGTAATTGTCATAAAACAATTCAAGAAGCTCATCAGAGCTTATGTCAATTATGCCTGCCATTGTAGATATCTGGCTATGTCTCCGCCTGCAAAAGAGAGCAGAATAATTTCATAATAGATCATCTAATTCCTTCCCTCCTTTCTTTCCACTCATAAGGGAATCCCACAGGGAATCCAAGTAATTGTATAAAATTATTCCTCCCACATTGCAGGATTTAGGGGTGCAGTGCCTCCATGATCTGGAAAGTCCTGTGTAAAATTTTTTGGCCCTCCCTTCGTGCCAGAGAAGAAGTCTGAATTATTATGGTATTAAAAGGTAAAAAATGTTGATATTATACAATACTGTACACATGTTTTATGCATTTCTAAACTTTTTGTGTGTACTGTCCTTCCTGTGTTGTTTGTGGCTTCCATAAAACTCCCCTAAAATTCCCATTTAATTTCTTATGCTGATCTGCTATTTATTGAAACTGTGATGTGTAATTGTATGCGAGAACACCTAACTTCAAATGTGCAACATGAGGTGAGGCTCTAAGGCAGAGGTCCTTAACTTGATTTTTCTAAAGTAACATTTAGATCATTGTGTTTCAGTATAATTGGCTTCTTTTGTAATCTTATGTGTTCTTTCTGTGTTCTTATATGTAATTTAACAATATTATTCTGAGGAGTCCATAGGCTTCACCAGACTGCCAAAAGAGTCCGTGTTATAAAAAAGTGGGAGAATCTCAGCTCTAAGACAATAAAAAATGTGTTCATCTGAATGAGTGTTGTCCCCTTCAAAATGGTCACCTTGGAAGGCTATTCACTTATTTCCTGGAGGCTGCTTTTGCTCAAATACAGGTGGCTTGGGAATGATATTTAGAACTTGCAGCACATTCTTTTTTGGGGGGAAGTGGGAGAGGAGGAAGGAATAAAAACAATGACAAAACTAAACAGGATACTATTTCCAGCATATATATGGCTTTATAAGAAGTTTGCTTTGAAGGAAAACCCTCATTTTGATGGGAATAATTATCTGGCATTCAAGGCCCACCACAATCTGATCCTACATTACCATTTCAACCTATTTGGTATGAAGCCTATTACACTATTCAGTATGAAGCACCCATGGTCCAGCTAACCTGCATTGTTCACTGTACCCCAAACATGGCTTTTTCTATCCCGTCTCTGTTTTTTTTTTTACTTATTATCCCTATGCCAAGAATGTTTTCCCTCTCCCTCTACACCTGTTAAATTCAACAAACATTTGTTATGTGATGATGAATTGTGAAAGACTTGACTGCTCTGATTGATACAAGGATCCAAGATAATTCCAAAGGACTCAGGATAAAAAAATGTTATCTACCTCCAGACAGAGAACTCACAGAGCAATCTGAATGCACACTGAAGTATAATTTTTTCACTTTCTTAATTGTTCTTGCTTTAATTTTTTTTGCAACATTTCTGATATAGAAATCTGTTTTATGTTTCACATGTATAATTGATATATTGCTTGCCTTCTCAGTGGGTTGGGGAAGGGCTGGAAGGAGGGAGAGTATTTGGAACTCAAAATTTAAATAAAAAAAAAGAATGTTATAAATAAATAAATAATAAATTAAAAAACCCGAACATTTGTTGTGAACCTACCATATGCTTATGCAAGGCATTGAGCTAGGGTCTGGGAATTTAAAGACAAAAATAAACACTATCTTCAGGAGACTTACACTATATTGTAAGATATAACACGTATACAAGTACCAAATACAAAGTAATTTCAAGAGGGAGTTCGTATAAATAACTCAAGAGGTTAATAATAATAATAATAATAATAATAATAATAATAATAATGATAGCTGTCATTTATATACCACCTACTATATGTCAGGCACTGTGATAAGCACTTTACAGTTATCTCATTTGAGCCTCACAACAAGAAGGTAGGTGCTATTATTATTCCCATTTTACAGATGAGGAAACTGACACAAACAGAGGTTTAAGTGATTTGTCCAAGGTTACACAGCTAGTTAAGTGTCTGGGATCTCACATAGGAGGTCGTGTCTGAATTGTGCTTTGAAGGAAGGTAGAAAATTTACTTGGTGGAGGCGAAAAGACAATGCATTACAGGGAATTACTCGTGCAAAGATACAAAGGTAGGAGTTGGAATGTCATGAATAGATAATAGCTGGAAGGCTAGTTTGATTGGAATGGAGAGCACTTGAGAGAATTAATATTAAAAAATATTAACAAGGTTGGTGGAAGCTAGAATTCACTACTATTGGCAAACAAGGTACATGTATACAGGGTAAATTGAAGAAGGAAGGGATGAGGGTTGAGGAGCAGTGAACCTCTACACATTCCTTATGATACAGTTACAGCTCAAATCCCAGCTTTCCAGTCTGCTCTCCATAGCAACTCCCTCATTTGGTCCTTTCCTTTTTCCATTTACCCTGTATATATCTTGTATGTACATAGTTGCTAAAACATAGTCTTCCTCATCAGACTAAGCGCCCCTTGGGAGTCGGGGCCATGTTTTTCCTTTCTTTGTATCTTCAGTGCTTAGCGTTGGGCCTGCCATAGTAAGAGCTTAATAAATATTTGTTGACTTGTTGACTGACGAAGAAAAGCCTATGGGTATTTTTCTTACATTTTTCCATGAGGAAACTGAAACTCAGCAAGGTCAAGTTAGTCCCTCATCCATGGTAAAAAGCCAGTTAAGTGTTGGAGGTGGGCTAGGAACCCAAGTCTCTGTTCATAGATGAGATTATCCTATCTTCTTGGTCCCCATCTGGGGCTCCTGTGGCCCTCAGCTATGTACCTTTGGAAGTAAGGAGCAATTGAGGAGAAAAGGGACCCAAATCAGCTAACTGGAATTTGGAAGCCTTAGCATTGGGTAGTTTTCCCCTATTGCTTTTGGGATAAAATCCAGACTGTGTATTGCTGGCATTCAAGGCCCTCCCTACACAGTCTGGCCTTACTCTACATCTCTGCTCTGATCTCCTATCATTCTTCTTCTTTTAATCATTTGTTTATTTGTTTATAGTTTTCATCATTCACTTTTACAAGATTTGGAGTCCTAAAATTTCCCCCTTCCTTTCATCTCCTCTCCCTAAGATGGCATGCAATCTGATAATAGGCTATACATGTACAATCATATTAAACATATTTTCACATTAGTCATGTTGTAAAGAAGAATCAGAACCGAAGCAAATAAATGACCTATCATTCTTCTACTAGAATCTTCTACTCCAACCAGATTGCTGTGCTCTCTATCACCTGCATATGTCTTCTGATTCCTACTTTTTGCTTATACTGTTTCTCTAACCCCTGCTTGAAGTGCCATACCTTGCATCAGTTCAGAAAAAAACGACTCATACTGTTACAGCAATATTCCAAAAAGGAACAGTTGTGAGGACTTTGATAAACTGTTGAAGAATGAAACGAGCCGAACCAGGAGAACAATTTATATAAATGACAATAACATTGTGAAAGCAACCAACCTTCATAACTAAGAGCTATGATCAATGCAATGTCTGTTCGTGATTCCAGAGGATGATTGATGAAGCACGCTATTCATTACAGAGCAGTGATGGAATTAGGATATAGAATGACACCCTAATCACACACATAATGTGCATGTCTATTTTTTGCATTTTGTATTTTTTTATATTTTGAGAAAATGTGTTTTGCTTGACATGGATATTTGACACAAGAAATTTGATTTCCTTTTTTTTTTTTAATGGGGTAAGAGTAGGAGGGATAGAAAATAGATTTCTGATAATTTCTAAAAATAGAGGTGTGATACATTGCGTGTGGTTTCTGATGGGTCACTGTATTATTAGTTTTACTTTGATACAAGAGTCCTCTCATGAACTGGGTGTTATATGTAAAAGTTTTGTAATGTAAAAAAAATCCCACATAAAGAAAACTTAAAATACATACACACAAACATACATATATACATACATGTACACACATACTTACATACATATACCTACCTGCATATATATATATATATATATACGTATATATAGCCTAACTACAATTTAAAGACTAGCTTATCCTCTCTTTTCTCCATGAAATCTTTAAAAAATCTATCATGGAAATAGAAATGGTTGGACAGCCAGGAATTCTGGGTTCTAAGCACTGTTCTGCAATTAACTAGCTGTGACTTTAGGCAATTTGCTTAATATCTCCAAGACTCAGTTTCCTAATCTGTAAAATGACAAGATTGAGCTAGATGGTTTGAAGGTCTTTTCTGCCTAAGTTCTACCTAGACTTCGAGATCTAGCTCATACTCACACCTCCTCAATGAAGACTCTCTGATCTCTAAAAACTGTTCTGTCCCAAGTGTTCTGATCCTGTTTACCATTTACTGTGACCTTCACGTGGGAACTCATTCAAATACAACCCACAGTGCAATCCCCATACCCAGAAGCATCATGGTGTAGTAGAAAAAGGGATAGATCTGAGAATCAGAGGACCTGGGTTGGAACCCTGTCTTCTTCTCCCGTGAGACCTCATACAAGTCAAACAAGCCTCAATTTATTCAACTGAAAAAAAAAAGATGAGACCCATAGGATTTACAGTTGAGAAGCACTTTCAGATTCTAGTCAAATGCTTATTTTAATAAGGAAATGGAGGCCCAGAAGCGTGAAGGGATTTGTCCAAGGTCCCACAACAACTTCATGGCAGGGCTTCCTAACTTTCTATCCAGTGTTCCTTCAGTAACATCATGTAGGTAGACAATTAACATGGTTTATCAAGCTAGAGATTTCAAGATTTATAATTTCCTCAGTGTAGGTACTCCTTTTACCAACACAGATTACAGCTCTTCCACATTTTATGAGTTGCTGTATTTGAAAAATTAAATGCCTGGTGGCCAACCTTCTGGGCATGAGCCTCTCCAAGTTTAGGTAGGCTGGCCTTTGGATGATCCATAGTCCATCACCCAGGTCTATCTTCAAAGCTCTTCCAGCTTGATAAGGTGGAAAGGGACAGGCAAGCAAATAAGCATTCATTAAATGCCTACTATGTGTCAGCAAGTGTGCTAAACACTTTACATATATTCTCATTTGGTCCTCACAACAACCCTTTGAGGTATTATTATGTCCATTTTACAGTTGAGGAAACTGAGACAGACAGAGGTTAAATGACTCCTCCAAGATCACCCAGCTAGGTAGTATCTGAGGCTGAATTTGAACTCAGGTCTTCCTGACTCAGAGCTGCCTCAGAGCAAGAGTGAGACCTATGAGAGCTTGTACTCAACTGGCATAGCCTTCAAGAACCCAAGATTACTTTCATGTCATGATGAAGCATTGGATTAGAATATTAAGGGAAGATTCATGTGTGTGCATATGTAGAAGAATTTTAGGCTGGAAGGGATCTCCAAGGTCATTCAGTCCAATCCAGATCTGGACAGAAATCTCTTCTACATCATTTAGTTAATCAATCAACGAGCATTTATTAATCAACTACTATGTACCAGGCACCATATTAATTGCTAGGGCTATAAAGAAAAAAGTGAAACATTTCCTGGCTCAAGAAGATTATATTCTAGGATGAGGGTGCTTAACCTTTTTGGGGTCATAACTGTCTTTGGCAGTGTTTGGTGAAGCCAATGGGCTCCTTCTCAGAATAATATATTTAAATGCAAAAATACTTAGAATTATAAAGGAAACCAATTATGTTGGAATATCATCATCAAAATATATATTTTTTAAAAGTTCATAGACACCAAGTTGAGAATCCCTAGTCTAGGAATTTGTGGCAGCAAGGTTTTGTTTGAAGGCGAGGAGGAGCTCACCATTGCTCATATACACATGTATGTGTGTATATATGTGTGTTAGAGTAAGAAAATGCCAGCAAAAGGCAAACAGATGTAGATGTGAGAGAATGCAGGGATATGATTATTGGCAGCTACCACTTATGTTCCAATTGTATTTAAGATGGTTTGGGATACCTTCCTGCTTCCATTGCTCATGAAGTACCTTGGCAGAAACTAGTTGAGGGGAGGGTAGGAGATGGGGGAAGGAATATAGACTGAGGAGTGAATTGTGAGGAGTGAATCTATCTATAGGAGAGAGTGAGGGCGTTCCTGAGAGCTTGGAGCCTTAGTGTTTGCGTGAATGACTCAGAATGTGGGAAGAAGCAGAGTGGGCTAGAAGAATTGTGTGTGGAGGCTGAGATAGGTAGATCCAGCAGGCACTCAAGGATTCAATGTGAGAAGTAGTGTTAGAGTGAGCATGGAGGCTGGTGCATTGAGTTCTCAACAAAGAAGAACTGCATGTGGGAGGTTTAGTTCTTATGCCTTTTTTTTTTTGTAGCAATACCACTGTTATGGAATAATGATGAGAGGGCCAGTAAGCATATAAACGTTTGTACCATTGATCAGAATTGACATTTTCCAAGACCCCTCCTGTTTCTCTCTCCTCTTCCCCACCTACACTTGCCGCTCCCCACCCTGATTCTGCTTGGAAAAAGAGCAGCAGGAAGAGAGGTAGTGGTGTGGGTGGCTCCTATGCAGACTCAGAATCAAGGACCTGAGTGAGCCCTGGAGACCCCCATTCTCTGCAGCCTTCTCACTCTGGAGATGCCTCTGCCCTATATCTTTTCCTTACTGGTGAATCTCTAGCCCAGACCTCTATTTCATGGGGGATCCCAGTTATGCTCTTAACTTCCCCTTCCCCACATCTTCTACTGTCTCTGCCTAACCCCCTCCCTCAGCTTCCCTTTATGTGTTATTTTCCCCCTTGAGGTAAGAGTGGAGGCTGGTGCAGAATGTAAGCTTCTTGAGGATAGACACTGGCTTATTTGTTTATAATTGGAAAAATATCTGACACATACATGCTTAATAAGTGCTCTATCTGTATCTATCTGTCCATCTTTCTATTTCTCTATCAGCTATCTCCTATCTTCAATCTATCTGTCTATTTATCTATCTATCTATCTATCTATCTATCTATCTATCTATCTATCATCTCTCTATCTGTTCATTTTTCTGTTTGTCGTCTATCAATCTGTCTCTCTGCCCTTCTGTCTATCTATCCACTCACCCAGGGTTTGGAGAACTAAGACAGATGAAGACAAGGTCTCTAAGCTTTTGGGGGGTAGGGGAGAAGAGCAGAGAAACCAAGGAGAAGAAAATCCCAAGGCTTACCCGCGAGGTGGTTTTTCACTTTAGTGTCAGCTTCTGAAAGGTAGGTGTGACCAATAAAAGGGTGGAGGCACTATAAAATCATAAGGAGGAGGTACCTGGCAGATGAAGTTGTTCAACCAGAAGTGGATTTCCCAGAGGGGGCAGGATATTTTTAATAGCTTGTTTGAATTAATTGCTGGTGTAGTTCACCCAGAAAACTTTAGCTTTCTCTTTCTTAAAATTTCCCCACTTACCCTCTCTCCTGTATCTCATTAGATACCCTGTCCTCCAAGTCTGGGGATGAACAGTTTCATCTGCCGCCTGCCTCCTTCAGCCCAGCTATTCTACAGTTATCTTGTTTTTGTTTTTAGTATATTTCTGGGAGCCAATATTTCATAAAGGTAGCCAAGGTGAGACTAGGGTATCTGGTAAGTCTTGGTACTGGCCTTTCTAAAGACATCATCTTTAGTCTCCGCCTCTGCTCCACGGGAGCCCTGAGATCCACTTTCTAATTCCATCTTGTAGCCCTTTTTAAGAACCTATTCTGGAGTTATTGATGGTCTCACCTATACCTCTTCCTGCTCCATGATGTACCTCATTCACCAACTACCTGCTCTGACTTCGTGCCTGCCTTAAATCCTGGTCAGGTCTTTTGAATTGCACCAGGATTGGGTCTGCAAAATGCAATTCTAGAGCAATCTACCAGCCACTGTTGCAAAGTCTTCTAACTACAGTAGTAGAGTCTTTAACAAAAGAAGAGAAAATTGTAAGTCTACCAAGTTATGAATGTAACATTTTGGACACTGTCAAGTGGCATTTGCAATGTCTTCTATTTTGTTAAAATAGCATCACAACAGAAAGGACAACTAAAGCTTGGCTGTATATGTTGCCCCTCAAGTATTTTTCTCCATTCCTTTGTCTACATTTCTAGCCTCAGAGAAACACCCAGAGCCTGTTTGCAATAAAAATATTTAGAATCCTTCTCCAAAAGCAGAGCCCAGGCTGTGATTAGGACAGGGTTTCTAAAACTTTTGGGTCTTAAGACCCCTTTACACTCTTAAAAATTGAAGACTCCAAGGAGATTTTGTTTATGTGGGTTATATCTATTGCTATATACCATTTAAGGAATTAAAACATCTTAATATTATTATGAAAATATATTTGAACTCAATGACTCCTTGAAAAGGTCTCAAGGACCCTCATACCACACCTTGAGAGATGAACTGTCATCTTAGGGTATGCTGAACCTCCAGCTTTGCCTTTCCACCTCTGTACTTATCTCACCAGGAGAGAAAGAAGTGAATTCAGGGCAGCCGATATTTTTTAAAAGCTGGGGCTTTTTTAATCTGCACTCAGCCTGTAACTATGCTGACCTTCCATGCCTCCACCATCACAAGGATAAAACACAGTGAGATTAACCCTTTCCATATCCACACAGACGTTATTTCTCTTTCAAGCTGCCTTTGGTTGTTCATTTTAATCTAATTTCACCTGTTTAAAAAAGTTTGGCAGAGGTAAGAAGGGAGTACCACTCCTTCCATGAAACTAGAAGGGATGGCTTTACCCACATTTTAAAAAATTATAGCACAGAGTCAGAGGACATTAACTTTCTCAGTGGTTCCACTTTCTATTTCCTCTTGGGTTACTATAGGATTTCTCTTGATCTCACTGTCTAAGCAGCAACAGACCCTCTCTAATTTCTTTCATTAATTAGTAGCGTTTAGGAGAAATAGAACGAATATGTAAAGCTGGAAAGGACCTTACAGTCTGATTCAAACTTCACATTTTAGAGATGAGCAAAGTAGGATTCAGGGAACTGATGTGAATGTCCCAAAGCCACATGCTAAGTGTCAGTGGTGGGATTCAAACCTAGATCTGACTCAAAATTCAGTCCTCTTTTTACTGTATCCTGGTGTATAGGAGTGGGCATTTTCTTACTAATCTGAGGATAAATCAGGAGGAGAGGCTAACAGAGAGGAATTCAGGACAAATGCTAGCTAGTACTTTCTGAAGGAACTGGGTCAGGGCAGGGGTAGCATTGCAATCTTAATTTCTGCAAAAGTCTACTTCTTGTTTGAATTCTCAGCTTAGCTGAGAGCTGAACAGTGGTTCTTCCCAAAGACAAAGGGATGACTTTACCCACTTTACCTCTCAAGGTTTTCCATCTGAAAGGCTTTCTCTCTGTGGGGGAGACCTTCTCTCCTCAGTTCCCAGCAGACCCTAGTAAAAGGCCCTGCTTACCTGTTGCTGCTGCCACCTCTGCAGTGAGTCAGGATTCAAAAGCTGAATGTGCTGTTAGACAGGAAGAAATGTGAAGTGGTTGTTAGAGAGAAACTTACGAAACCAGGCTAAGGAGGGGAAGTACAGGAAGCCCTAAGTCAATCAACTGGGGGGTCAGAGAGACTATTAGCTTGTGAAGAAACCCAGACCTGGAGTCAAGAAGATCTGAATTCAAATCCTGCCTTAGACACTTACTAGCTGTGTGACTCCCCAAAAGACGTGAAGCCCCTTGAATGTAAAGGTTTTTAACTCGTGTGTTTGTAACCTCCAGTGCCTAGCACAGTATCTGATACACAGCAGGCACATAATAAAGGGCATGTCCAAGGGTGACCTGGATGGTGAGGGAGCTTGAAACTATATCTTGGTGAATTCCTTTCCACCTGGACTCTTCCCTCATGGCTTTGGTCTAGTAGCACAGAACAGACAGAGGATCCTGTCTCTGATTTCTTGTAATAATAAAGCCAGCTTTCAAATGGGGCAGTAGATAAAGAGCTGGTTCGGGATCCCAAAACATCCCAAACCACATGATCATCTTGATAGATGTAGAAAAAGCCTTTGACAAAATACAATATTCTTTTATGCTGAAAAGAGCTTCAGGCATTTTTCCTAGCTATGTGACCCTGGGCACGTCACTTTGCCTCCATCAGTTTCTGTTTCTTCATCTGGAAAATGGGAATAATAATAGCACCTACTTCATAAGGTTGTGCTAAAACCAGTGGAGCTGATTGTTAAATGTTGTATGGTCATTTATACCTCAGAAATGGGCAAATATTGCAAAATGGGACTTGATTTACTATTTTGTTGATTGTTTAGACTTAAGAAATCAATAAGAAGATGTTAACAATGAAGATTTAATTTAAAAGTATGTTCTGTCTTTTTGAAGATCTGGTTGTTAAACTTTTACCATCACGCTCCTGCCTGCAACCTTGGTTGTGAGGATCATATGAAATATGTAAAGGGCTCTGCAAGTTTTAAAGATCGACATAAATGATGACTATTAGCATGATGATTATAAACCAGCTACTATTATTACAACAAATCAGAGAGAATGGTCCCTGGACCATTCTATGGTGGAAAGGGGTCCACCAAAACATGGCTCCAAGCTCCCCTCACCAACCAGGTCACCCTTGGACACGTCCTAATTTGTTAATGTTCCTGCTAGGATGCGATTCCCAGATTTGGACCAGTTTCCACTTGACTACTGTCTAAACCTAGCTGGTTTTTGATGCCTCTCTCAACCCAGCCCATAGTTTGAAGTGATGAACTACTTATTTTTCTTATTTTCTAAACTCTAAAATTTCAAACAAAATCCCATCAGTTATTTGATTGCAGTTATTTATCCAAGAAATCATTCATTATGATCATGTGGAATTTATAACAAGTATGCAAAGATGGTTCAACATTAAGAAAATAATCAACATAATTAATCATACTAAAAACCAAAACATCCCAAACCATATGACCGTCTTGATAGATGTAGAAAAAGCCTTTGACAAAATACAACACTCTTTTGTGCTAAAAACCCTACAAAATATAGGTATAGAGGGACCTTTTTTTTAGTTCCAAAAAAAAAAGCATCTCTCTAAAATCAATAGTAAGCATTATGTGCAATGGGGATACACCAGAACCTTTTTCAGTAAATACAGGAGTGAAGTAAGGGGGCCTACTCTCCCCACTATTATTCGATATAGTTCTTGAAATTCTAGTAATATCAATAAGACAAGAGAAAGGAATTAAAGGAATAAAGATGGGTAAAGAGGAGCTAAAACTATCCTTGTTTACTGTTGATATGATGGTGTACTTGGAAAACACCAGAGAATCAGCAAAGATACTAATTGAGACAAATTAATGGCTTCAGCAAAGTTGCAGGTTACAAAATAAATCTTCAAAAATCAACAGTATTTCTATAAAATGATAATAAAACACAAAAAGCTATGATAGAAAGGGAAATTCCAGTCCTAAAATGCATAACATATCTGGAGATCAACCTGCATGCAAAAGCTGACAATAGATTCGATTACAAAACACTCCTCAAAGAATTAAAGAACAACAGGGGCAGCTATGTGACATAGTGGATAGAGCTCTGGCCTTGCAGTCAGGAGGACCTGAATTCAAATCCAGCCTCAGACACTTGACACCCTCTAGTTGTGTGACCCTGGGCAAGTCACTTAACCCTGATTGCCTCACCAAAAAGCAAAAAAAAAAAAAAGAATTAAAGAACAACTTAGATAATTACAGGAGTATTCAATGCTTGTGACAATACTACTGAGATTAACTTATACTTTTTTTTTGAGCAGTTGGGGTTAAGTGACTTGCCCAGGGTCACACAGCTAGTAAGTGTCAAGTATTTGATCTGAGGCTGGATTTGAACTCAGGTACTCCTGACTTCAGGGCCAGTGCTCTATCCACTGCGCCACCTCGCTGCCCCCTAATTTATACTTTTAATGTTATACTAAATTACCAAGAAGATACTTTTTACAGCTTAATAAAACAATACCAAAATGCCTTTGGAAAAACATTAAATCTAGATTATTAAGGGAAATGATGAAAAGAAGAAAGGACAAAGGGGAATAGTACTTCCAGACCTCAAACTATATTATAAACCATCTGGTATTAGTTAAAAAATAGAGAGATAAATCAGTGGAACAGATTAGACAAAAAAATAGACTCAATAAACCAGTATTTGATTAAGTAGAAAAAAGTAGGAAAACTCCCTGTTTGTAAAAAAAAATTGCTGTGAAAACTTCAAAGTGGTCTGGCAGAAATTAAGCTTAGACAATCATCTTACACCACACTTTACAGTAATTCTAAATAGATACATGACCTTAATATTAAATATCATACTATTAAAAATTAGAAGAGAAACATATCACGTACCTCTCACAGCTATGGGGAAGAGAAGTGGTCTCAACCAAATGAGAGAAAGAGGCAATTAAAAAAGATTAAAATTGATAACTTTGATTACTTGAAACTGAAAAGATTCTGCACAGTCCATATTAATGTATCTAGGGAAGTGGTCAAATGGGAAAAATATTTGTATCAAATTTCTCTAGTAAGGCTTTGGTATCCAAGATAAATAAACAATAAATAATTATAAGACTTATAGCCATTCCTTAATAAATAAATGGTCAAAAGATATGAACAAATAGTTCTCAGAAGAGGATCTGCAACCTATTCAAAACTACATGAAAAAATGCTCTAAATTTCTAATAAGAGAAATGCAAATCAAGACAACTCTAAGGTTTCACACACTCTGCAAATTGGCAAAAAATGACCAAAAAATGCTAGTAGTCAATGGTGGAGGGATTGTGGAAGGATAAACACACTAATACATTGTTAGTGGAACTGTGAAATGGTACAACCATTTTGGAAAGCAATTTGGAATTATGCAAATAAAGTTACTAAAATATCCATACCCTTGAACCAGAGACTCTATTACTGGGCTTATACTCTAAGCCAACGATAGAGGAAAGTTCTTATATACTCCAAAATATTTATAGCAGTACTTTTCTGGGTAGTTAAGAATTGGAAAGAAAGTAGATGACCATTGATTGGAAAATGACTAAACAAATTGTGGTACATACATATAAATAGAATAATAGTGTGTTGTAAGAAATGATGTGTGTGATGAATACAGAGAAACATGGAATGATTTATATGAACTGACACAGAGCGAAGTAAACAGAGCCAAGAAAACAATATACACAATAACTACAACAACGTAAATGGAAAGAATAGTGACACACTAAAAATTCAGAAGTAAGTGAAACAAAATTAGAAAGATCAGTGGGAATTGAATGAAGAGATATAAGAAGATACTCCCAAACAATTTCTTAATGAGGTGGGAAATCCATAGGTGTTACATATTGCACATGTTTTTGCATTTAATATTTTTCACCCAATTACATGTAAAAACAATTGCAATGTTCTTTTTCTTCCTGCACATTTTTTGACTTTCTTAGTGTATCAATCAGTTGTGTTGACCTTTTTTTTTCCTCTCTTAAAAAAAACAAAACCCATCACACCATTTGCCATATGGGATGGTTCTTGGAGAGGGGTAGGAGTAGTGCTACATGGGATACTGTGGAGATGTAAGAAGCAGAAAATATTAATAAAATTTTTTTTAAAGAGTAGAGGTAGAGGAAGGGATGCTGTGCAACCAAGGTGTGTGACATGGTCAAACAAGAGAGACAAGGCATAGCGGCAGCTAGATGACACAGTGGGTAGAGCACTGGCCCTGGAGTCAGAAGGGCCTGCATTCAAGTCCGACCAGACACATATCACTTACTAGCTGTGTGACTCTGGGCAAGTCACTTAACCCCAATTGCCTCACAAAAAAAGACAAGGCAGGATGGCCAATTAGGAGGCTATGCAATAGTTGAGGTGGGAGATGATGGAAGCCTGAAATAAGGGGGTGGCTGTGCAGGGGGAGAGAGGGGAGAGCTAGGAGAGCTGTTATGGAAGTAGAATTGACAAGACTTGGCAATTGATTGAATATGAGGGGTGGTGATGAGGGAAAGCAAAGAATCAGGAATGATTCTGAGGTTGAGAATCTGGGTGACCAGAAGGATGATAATAACCTTGACAGAAACAGGGAAGTTAGAAAGTAAGAGGGGGTGGTGTGGTGTGGGATGGGCTGGGAGGGGTGGAGACAAATGAGTTCTATTTTAAATGTGTTTACATTGAGTTGTTTATGGGGTATCCAATTGGAAAAGTCTTTTAGGCAGTTAGCAATGAAGAGTGACACTCAGGAGAGAGACTGGGGGCATGTATGTCCATCTGAGTCATCTACATAGTAATGATAACTGAACATAAGGGAGCTAATAGAATTGTTCAGGAGAGAAGGTTGTGTAGAAACAGAACACTCAGAAGGGAAGAGCCCTGGACGGTAGTAATTACTTTTTTCCTGCCAAGGGTTTTCTCTCATAGTTTTATCTTCATCATTAAATTTGGGATACTTAGTGGTCAGTCAGTCAACTAGCATTTATTAAGCTCCTACTGTGTGACAGTCACTGGGCTAAGTGCAAGGGGTGATGTATAGAATTACAGAATGA